AATTGAGGGTTTGACAAGTATTGCTTAATTTTATCAAAAGTCACTTGACATTTCTCATTCTATTTTTCAGGATTATTCTTACGGAGAAGCTTAAATATGGGATCACATTTGTAGGTAAGTTGAAAAATAAATCGAGAAATGTAGTTTAATCTTTTCAAAAAATCTCAAACTTTTTTTGGTGTACTCGAAGGTGACAAATTCTGAATGGCCCGTATCTTGTTTGGATCGACTTCAATTCCTTTTTCACTAACCACAAAGCCTAGTAACTTTCCTGACTTTACCCCAAATGTGCACTTTGCTGGGTTTAACTTGAGCTGAAATTTTCTCAACCTCTCAAATAACTTTCTGAGGCTAGTGACATGATCTTCATCCTCACAAGATTTTGCAATCATATCATCTACATACACTTCGATCTCTTTGTGGATTATATCATGGAAAAGTGTTACCATGGCCCTTTGATATGTTACCCTAGCATTCTTTAACCCAAAAAATATGACCTTGTAACAAAAGGTTCTCCATATAGTCATGAAAGTAGTCTTTTTCATATCATCTGTAGCCATTTTTATCTGATTATACCTTGAAAAACCATCCATAAAGGAGAAAATTGAATGCCTAGCCGTGTTATCTATCAATGTGTCAATATGAGCAAAGAAAAGTTATCATTTGAACTAGCTTTATTCAAGTCACGATAGTCTACACACATTCATACCTTTTCATCTTTTTTAAAAATCGATACTATATTATCTACCCACTCTGAATACTTAGCCACTTGTAGAAAACCTGCATCAAATTATTTTTTCACCTCTTCTTTGATCTTTAGTAACATTTCAGGCTTCATTCATCTTAGTTTCTGTTGGACTGGCTTACATTCTGACTTTAAGGGCAACTTGTGCTCTATTATCTCCGTGCTCAACCCTGATATATCCTTATAAGACCAAGTAAATACATCTACAAATTTTTAAAGTAAATCTACCAAACGTTGTCTATCTCCTGATGAAAGTGAAGTGCCAATTCTGACATCTTTTTTATTCTCTTCATCTCTCATATTCACTAAGTCAACTATCTCCTGATGAGGCTCAATTGGCTTATTTTCTTGTTCAATCAATCTCATAACGTCTAGATCCAGAAATCTATCGTTAGACATTGACTTAAAGAGTCTCCACCAATCTTTTTTATCTAGGTACGATTGGCCACCTAAGAAATCTATCCTTTCAGGAAACACCTAAATTTAAGGGTCCCTAAAAGAATAGGTTTGGGTCTACTAGCCAGAACAGGGTTCGAGAGTTCGATTACATGTGAGAAAAGTTATAACACCCTCACAATGCCCATTAAAAATGGTACCAGCTTAATTTTGTGTTATCCAATAAGCCTTAAAAATTTATCAAGTAATATTAAAAATTATTCTCAATTGACTCTAATACTTTTAGTAGAAAATTGAAAAAATCTCCTCACCTCAAGAGTATGCAAGAAAACTATTGTTTCACTTGCAGAAGCTCCATTGTCGAATTATTCAACATTAAAAAAAATTCAAGAAAATAAAAAGAAAAAATGATTGCTTTTGTACAGGAAAAATTGATACTTTTAACTTTTCCTCAAAATATTTTTTAGAAATTTTAATTTCGAAAAAAATTGATTCTTTCAATTTTTTCTCAAAAAATCATTTTTGAAAACTTATTTTTAAGAAAAATTGATACTTTTAACTTTTCTCCAAAAATATTTTTTTTTTAGTTTTATTTAAAGAAAATAAATAAAATAAAAATGGAAATGGAAATAAAAATAAAGAAAAAATAAAAATAAAATAAAAAGTATTAAACAATTCTAATCTAATCAATAAATAATAATATTAATAATAATAACAATAATAATAATAATAAATAAAAATAATAAAATAATAAAAAATGAAAGAAAAAAAACTTGGGAACGGCTTGGCTTAGCGGCTCGACTCGGCTCAGGAAACGACTCGGAGACGAGGGTCGCACGCTGGTCAAAAGCGGGTTGGCGCTTGGGTCAGGTCGGATCTTGGCAAAACGCGCGGATCCCGTGGGCAAGTAATGCCAAAACAACATCATTTTCAGCGGGTATAAAAGGCTATTCTTTCTATTTTTTCTGCAGACTTCTCCTCTCATCTCTCCCTCTTCCCTTCTTTTTCTCTCCCTTCTCTCTAAACCACAAAGAACTCCTGTTGAATTCTCGTCGAATTCTGAAAATTTTCATCAAAATCTGAGTTTTTTCGCTCGAAGTTCATCGAAAAACTGGTCAGTTTTTGAAAATAGTGCCGAAAACTGGGAAGTTGGCAGAAAAATTCAAACTTGACTTGAAAAGTCGTCGAAAAATTCAACAAAAATCTGAAAATTTTTCAGAAATTTTCAAAAAAAATTCACAAAAAAATTCTCTAAAAATTTTCACCGATTTCTAAAGCTGTTCTAACTCATTAAAACCCTTTTTAACTTCAGTTTCTTCTCTGTGTGTTCTCTCTTAACCAGTGTCTTCCTTTTTTTGTGTATTGATCCTTTGATTCGTGGATCTATTTATAAGAATTGATCGAAAGAGTTTATGATCAATCTCAACTCCTCCTTGGATTGAGATTCAATCATTAAATCCAATAAAGACTCTGATTGAATCCCCACTCACGGTAGGATTCTCCAAAAATATTCCAATCTCAGTTGAAAAAAATATATATAAAAATCAAATAAAAAATATTAATAGATAATTAAAAGAAAATAATCAAATAAATCAAAATATTAATAGATAAATAAAAATAATAATAGATAAATTATAATATATAAATAGATAAATAATAAATATATATAAATATTAACAAAATAATAATAATAATAAATATATATTAATAAATAGTAATAATAAATAAATAAATAATAAATACATAAGATACAAAGAAAAAAAAATAAAAAATAAAATAAACTTACTCATTTAGATCAAATCCAATTGATCTGAGTTTAAATTAAATTGAGTGCCTACAATATTAATTAAATTAGATACTTGAATATTGTCCTAAAAGCTTAAGCACCAAAGCTGAGTGCATTAATAGAAGCCTTACTCAACGGTCAACACCATGATCGATCAAACCCATGTTCGATTATCAAAAGTTAAGCCTGTCTGTTGGTAAAGAGCATAAAAGGTTTTCCCATTGCCGACACTTACGAATATATTAATTATATATAGCAATTAATGGAAACTTGTCCTCGTGATGGAATATCAATATAGGATATTGACTTGATCACGTTTTTATTCCCTTCTGAAATTTTAAAGGGCAAACAATCCAATAACAAAGCCTTTGGATGTCTTGAACAGGGAAAACAAGTTGGTGGGCTCATGCATACATAAAAAACCATGGAAACGAAGGGCTTGGCCCCTTGGGGAGGCCTTAACTCAATTTCTGATGAGATTTGAGAGTGACGAATCGGCTACGCGTGATGCAGGTGCTATTGTCCTTTTCCAGCGTCTTAATTTGTGGGGCTATTAAGGCTTTGTTTTTTACCCTTTTAGCTTTCCATTCTCTTGTAGTGAGTTAATATATACTAAAGTGCTCATCTTTTTAAACAGAATCAAGTTCAAGATATATATCAATCATTATATATATATATATTATATTAGGCATTTGTTTTGCAAATGTAATAATTTTCATATAATTTGAAGTAAAATCTTAAATGCACTAAATCAATGCAAGAGAATGCATTTTTAAAATCGTTCAAGAAAAGATTACATTTAAATAGACGTAGAAACAATCCTTACTGTATTAAAAAAATCCACAGAACCATTAATTATTTTATATATGCTTGTTGTCTTTAATTGCTATGACTGGTTTGTCCCAACACATCAATCTGCTCGTAAAGGAACAATTGCAAGTTGGTCTTGAGCAGATCTTACATGAAGATGGCAAGCTTGCTTCCCTGACATATATTTTTCCAGCTGAAAATGTCTCCTTAATTAAAAAAATATATATTTCCAGGGAAACAAACAAAAATGTTACTACATTGCTGCCATGCATTTTGCTGCAGAAAATGCAATTCTGAAAGATTTTCCAGGAAACCAACATTTGTTGCTTTAATGACTTTGGGACGGCTATAGCAATTACATTAACATCAAATGAAAGAGAAAGGATTGAAATCCTTTCACGCTGCAAGACTCATGCAATAACAGACAAAATCGTTTCTGTCCTTATTCATCAATAAGCTTTTTCAAGGATTTTTGGCTTCTATTCCAACTCAATCTTTTATTTTCTACCCCAAACCTTGTGGTAAATTTGGGCATCCTATGCGTTTGGGATAAGATTTAGAGTAATCAGATGAAACATGTCGTGAGTCAAAAAATTTTTTGCTATGAAATTTATTTAATTAAAAAATTAAAAAAATGTGAAAGATAAAAAAATCAAATGAATGTGACACGTAAATATCTCAAATAGTTTTTTTTGTAAAAATTATCTAATAAAAAAAAATATTCATGATCAAGTCAAATCAAATTCGAATCAAACTCATATTTGATATTAATAATTTATGTGCTTGCTTAGATTAGGTTCGGTTCAATATTTGGGTTACAACATTTTTTCAAATCTATTCTCAATTAAAAAAATAAATCACAAACCATTTATTAAACTTAATTTATATAATAAAGATTTTAAAAAAATTTAAATATAAAATATAAAAATAAAAATTTATATATATATTTTTTGTATAATTATAATATTTTAATTATATATATTTTTAGACCGAAATATGTCAAGTTCTTGCTTTAATTTTTTTGTTTAAAATTCGATATTAAATTTAAACAAATATAAAATTATATCTAAATCTATTTAAGGTATTTTAATTTTTTATTCAAATCCTTTTAAAACTTGAATACACATTCAAATTGTAATAGCTTGATGCTCGAGCAGATCTAAAAATAACCTGAGAGGATTTTTTTTTTTTTCTATGGGAAATTCCCTTCTTGTGATAATTCTTCACCTCACGAAAGCTAGGAGGCTTTTTCAATTTCTTGTGGACTCAGTCCTTTACTTTGCCTCTTCCTTGATGGGCTTCAAACTGCTTTAAGAACAGATCGTTGGCTTGTAAAGGAAAAGGGTTTGGATCAAATCATGGACTGAGTTCGTTTTAGCTCAATCCCATTTTACCTCCATTAGATTATGGGCCTGGAAGACCTTCATCTTAAACCCTTTCATCTTTAGTAAACCTTTGGCTAGGGTTTAAGGCTAACATTATCCAATTATTCTTCTTCATCATGACATTGTGAACCATCCATGGCGGTTTCGGGGTTAAGCTTCGCATGCAAACCTCATCTCTCTCTTCGGCCTCCCCTCTTTCACTGCTTCCACAAAGTAATTCTACTTTTTTCTACATGGGTTTTGTTAATTATTTTATTTCTCAAATTTTTGATCATTTCTTTGTAGATTCGGTTCGGTTCCGTTGCTGCAATTGAGACGCTTGATGAACCAGAAACTTTTATCAAATACAACAACAGTCAAAGCTCTGACCTTTCTACTGAAAAAAATGGTATGTCAGTTTTATTTTTTTGGGTTTTTTTTATTTGATTGAATTTACATGTTTCTCATATTGATTATAGATTAAAAAAATTAAACTTTTGGGTGTTCAAGTGAGTGGAGAGGACAGCAAGTTGCCACAGTGGAAGAAGCTGAATTCTCAGGATCTTGGGATTAACACTTCAACCATTTCCAGGCCAACAAGGAAAGTTCTTAATGGACTCAAAAGAAAGGGTATTAGTGTTATATATTTCCATTGCGATATGTGAGAGAATGAAACTTGTTGTTTTCTAAATATAAGTTTGGAAATCTCAGCCTTTTCTCTTGTGCTTGTAGGGTATGAGGTATACCTTGTAGGAGGTTGTGTACGGGATTTTATTTTGAATCGAACACCGAAGGACTTTGATATAATAACTACAGCAGAACTTAGAGAGGTTGTTGTTAATGGCCTTTTTTTAGTTGTTGTTATTTTGATCTTATTGCTTGTTTATTAAAAGTATCTGTGCTTGTTGTATTAAGTGGTGTTGATTTGCTGGTGCTTTTTTCTGTGTTAGCCAGGTGAAAGGCTTGCTTAACTATAAATAGATTAGTAATAAGGTATTAAGGAACTACTAAAACCGCTCTTCCCGGGCTAGTTGACTCTTAGCTTCCAGCGAGCTGTTAGGTAATCAACATGCTAAAAGCTAAAATTTGATCCTACTAGCATCTGATAAAATTAGCACGTCATATGCATCGCAGTGCAAACATGTTGTTGTATCAGGTTGATGCCACATAAAAAAGGATCGCTTTGTGATGGTTTCTCTAATCTCTATTGTTAGTGCATGTCTTACCGTCTGAGGAGGTTTCCCAATTCCTTAGCTTTCAGACATTATAAAATTTATTTTTTCCAAATTTTCAGGTGATGAGGGCATTTTCACAATGTGAAATAATTGGAAAACGGTTTCCTATATGCCATGTGCACATCGGTGATACAATAGTGGAGGTTTGTTCTTAGTTGATCTTTTTCCCCAGGCAGCAATTGAAATTTATTTTCCATTTTATGCTTGTTAGTTTTCTCTTGGTAATGGCTTTTAATGAAGGTTATCTATTTCAAATTTCCCTTTTTCTTTTTGCTGTTTTATTAGTATTTTGTTATCTCTTTATAATTTAGGTTTCAAGTTTTAGCACATCCAGACGGAATTTTGAGAGGGGCCTTACCTATGAACTTGGAAGACCTGCTGAATGTGACGAGAAGGATTTTGTTCGTTGGAGAAATTGTTTGCAACGGGACTTTACAATTAACGGGTTAATATTTTAACATTTTGAACTTATGATTTATGTACTGCTACTTGTTCGAATTTTATTTATGTGCGTTATCTTTAATTTAAGACGCCGCTCTGTTTCTACAGGTTAATGTTTGATCCATATGCAAGGATAATTTATGACTACATGGGAGGAATTGAAGATATTAAAAAGGCTAAAGTATGCATTATGGGTTGTTGCTTTGGTTGCTTTAGAAATTATAATTGATGTACATTGCCCTTTATCTTCTGTTATTGTAGTTACGAACTATGGTTCCTGCAAGTACTTCATTTCAAGAGGATTGCGGTGAGTTTATTGTATGCATTTTCACTCTATTACTTTTCATCTCGTAATATAGTAACTGTCATGCTATTGTCTGCTGTGTTTACCTAGAAGTGCACAACTTTTTATGGCCCATCTTCTGTACTTACTGAGAAAATTGTTCCTCCCTTCATACTCTTTGCAGCTCGCATACTACGTGCAATAAGAATTGCTGCCCGGTTAGGCTTTAGTTTTTCTAGGGAAACAGCTCATTTTGTCAAAAATCTGTCTTGCTTGATATTGAGTTTGGATAAGGTATACAGAAAGCTCCTTTAAGAGTTTTCCCAGCATTTAAGTTCTGTGAAAATGTTGCTGGCTGATTTTATTCATTAATGGTAATGTTTAGTCAAGGCTTCTGATGGAAATGAACTACATGCTGGCATATGGTTCTGCAGAAGCTTCTTTGAGATTGTTATGGAAATTTGGACTCTTAGAAATACTTTTACCTATTCAGGTATGGAACTGAAAAATGAATTTCCTTTTATGCCTGTTATTTTGATACTAATGTTGATGGAACTTCATCTTACAGGCTGCATATTTTGTTCGCAATGGCTTCAGGAGGCGTGATAAGAGATCTAATATGCTCTTGGTAAGTTTTGGTCTGTAATGTATCGTGTTGAGGAGGAGTTACAAAATGACCTGCAGCTATGTGATAGCATAGAGTCCATTAATTTTCTGATGTTTTATGCAGTCATTATTTTCTAAACTGGACAGACTTCTGGCACCGGACAGACCATGTCACAGTAGTTTATGGTAAGGTTGTCAACAAGAAGAAAATCTGAAAATCCATATCTAGTCCTTTCATATGCAATAGCCATCAATATAATGCAATGTCAATATTCTTGATGATGGCCTGTTAGACTGTTAGACAAAGTATGCAAAGTAAGATTTTTTTCTGTTTTTGGTGTACTCTTTTGAAGCCACTCATCCTTAAAACATCCTCTTATTGCTAACAGGATTGGAATTTTAGCATTCCATAAAGCACTTTCTGACAAACCTAGAGATCCTTTGGTTGTCGCGGCATTTAGCCTTGCTGTCCACAATGGTGGAGATATATTGGAAGCAGTAAATATTGCCAGGAGGATCAATAAATCACATGGCAGTAGCTTTCATGAACTCTCAGAACCAGGGAATCTAGACAACCAGGCATTAACTGATGAGGTTATGGATCTTGCTGCATCTGTAAAAAGCACATTGTGCATGATGACTGATGAGTATTTTGTCTCTCAGGCAATGTCAGCATACCCTCAAGCCCCAGTCTCAGATCTGGTGAGTAATTCTCTTTATGTTTCCCTTCTATTTTCTGGTTTTATGGACAACACACTAGGATGCTGCCAACCAGGCATCAACACTGAACCAAAGCAAACATCTGGTAGGAAGCAATGTCTAGTTTCCTTCCCTTCACCAATTTAAAGCTATTCTTGAAGTTGAAATTAATAGTTGTCGGTTAACAATACATCTATGAATTAATAGTTGCACCACTAGCTAGACTTGCTTTTCAAAAAGGTAACATTAGGTAGAAGAAATTTTTTATTCAGGTCAAATGTGGAACTTAAGCAACTTTCTGTCCGAAATCACAAAATACCACAAGGAGAGGTGGGTTTCTGATTCCGGGACTATGGTACTGTTGGGAATTTGACATTTTCCGCAGGAATAGGATAACCCTGAATCAATAGTGGGAATCAGATATCCACAATCAAGATTTTGGAGGAAAATTTTTGGATTCCCCCGAACTAAACACCCTCCTAAAAGGCATGCCTGATTTGTTCCCCTAATCTTACATGTGCAGGTATTTATACCATTGGCGTTGTATTTGAAAGTCTGCAAGGTCTTTGAGTGCATCAGAGAGGGTGTGGAGAAGGGATTTGTGGCAAAGCAAGGCAGCAGGATTGACTATGAGATGTTAGCAGTAGGAAGCTTGAGGGAAGTTCGACATACATTTGCTAGGGTTGTTTTCGATACTGTATACCCTCTTAACCCAACATGAACTAAGATGCCGCATGGTAAGTGGTTGTATGCCATGGGAAAGAAACTCTCAAATTGTTATATGGTAAAATATGTTGAAGCCCCATTTTGTTTCTTGTGTATGCCCTGCACAAGTACATGGAATAAATTTACTCAGAAAGCCCATTCTTTTTCGCCATGGACTTCACCATTGAGAAGACACCCTTTCTTGTTCATCTTGGTCATGGCAATTTCTTGTATTTATATTGTATCTGTTTCATGTTAAACACAAACAAACACAATAATTATCATGTCATAATTCTATCATTACGTTAAACACAATATGTTTTCATTAAATTTGATAATTTTAAACACAACAAGACAATAAAAAGAGTAATTTCCTAATCTGAATGTTTGATTTAACAAGAGTGCTTTGAGGGTGCTGCCTCCAGATCGAATTCAAGAAACAAGAGTATAATCTGTGAAGAATTCTGCATTAAGTAACTATGTCTGCAAAAAGAATACAATTCAGAGACCAACAGCGACCAATGCTAATTTTGTGGACTCTCTTAATGAGGGGAACCCCCCTTTCAAAAGTCCTAGAATGAACAAACAAAAGTTGCATCGTGTTTGCCATGAAGTACATTTTATCATACCTTTGCAGCGGCAGGAGTAGAAGCGCCACCACCAGTGATTGGCCTGCAGGAAGGAACCAGATTTAGGTCATTTGATTGTTTGCAGATAGGACTAAAATGAATGAATTTATTGGAGAGAAGGTAATTTACCTTGATGTACCTAAGAACCATCAAAACTATAAATAAGTGAGAGTCTAAGCAAATGCTAGAAGCATAAAACTTACAGCCCAACAAAAACTTTAAAAGCATCATAGATTCCCCATTCTGCTCCCGTAAGGGTTCCAATCATGACAATACGAAGGGGCAGTCCAGGGGCTTTCACCCCACAATCCTAGCTTCTTCACCGCCTGCAACAAAATGAAGCAGGTGAACATATCAAAAGTGAAAGAGAAACATATATATATATATATATATATATCCGTGCAATTCAAACGTAATAAGGTTTTTACTCACATCATCAACCGTTGGCCCCTTGGCATTGTTGAGAAAGACACCATGTTGTCAGCAGGATGTGATACAACAGCACAGAAAACACCAGCTATGTCTCCACCAGCAAAGCTCACCCCAAGGTGCAAAGATTTACTGCACTGGTCGTTCGAGGTGGGGATGGAATACTTGTAGAGTAGCTCAACAATTGTTTCAAAAGACGCAAATTTCATCATTGTATCTTCAAAATATCAATTCAGTTCATCAGCACATATTCAAAACTTCTCACAACCGACCGAATTACATAGACGAGATTAACAGAACACAAACACACAAAAATTAAGCATTATATTCAGAGTTTAACACACAAAACTGTCGCATCCAAATACGAAGGAAATTCAAACTTTATGGCAAACAAACATGTCAGTAAAAACAGATCATCATAAAGCATATATGAAACATTAAATGAAGGAAAATGTTTGGCTTACATGGAATCTGTCGTCCCCAGAGAGGAACGAGTCCTTTGCGCAACCTACAAACATGTTAAGATCATAGTATCAACATCTCATGCAAAAAATAAATCCACTACATAGGCCAAATATTTATTGTACAGTTATCAAAACCGCCAGCGCCTTCAGCCTTCACAAACTTTGGAAACCCATCTGATAAACCTCGTGCAAATGCAGGCTGAGTTTGCACACGAACTTTGACTGCCTCCATGGGGTAGAGAGCAACATCAGCAATCAATTCAGCAGATGCAGAACCAGCAAGATAAATCAGGGTCTTATACTTTGAAGCATATTCAGGCCCAGCAATGTCAGAATAGTACTTCTTGAAGAATTAATAGAAACCAAATTTACAAGCTCCCTGTGCACAGTAACCAAGTAGGGTAGGCACCCAACCCTTGAAAAAACCTTTGGCAGCTCCTTCAGCAAAACTCCAAACCCAGATGGGATGCTCTTGTATTTTGCTGGGTCAATCTGAGATTTCAACAGCATTCATATTACCATTCCCTTTAGTCCAATAAGACAAAACAACAAGATATAATAGTGTTTGCAACAATTAAAATAAAAAATCAAAACAATGAAGCTCTCATGATGTAGTAACATGTTAGGTAAAAAAGGTTGAAAATAAACCATTTCTTTTTTATATTTGACAATCAACCATATCATCGATTTGAAAAAAACGTTTCAGAGAATCCCAAGAACTAAACAAACAACCCATAAGTCCAAAACTCTGGAATCACAGGAAAAGTTGACTATATTTTTCTTGTAGTTGAAAGTCAATACAGTAATAAAAGCTTGATCAAAGCATCAACCACGAAATTCCAGATACAAAGACCAAATCAAATAAAAATGACATTTACAAAAAAAAAAAAAAAGCCAAACATGGTTTTTTTTTTTTTTATTCAAAGATAGCACACGCTATTAATTCAAAATTGATTGATTTAAAGTTAACGCGGAATCATATATAACTACATAGATATGGGAAGCCAGCCAATGCGAGGCATGAACCCTACTTACCTGGGATGCGCCAAACATGGTTTTAAGCCTTAGTCTATCATTTCTTCGGATGATCAAATTCAGGATTAGAATAAACATCTTGAATTCCATCATATAAAATGACTTATCGGAATAATCAGAGATTATGTAAATGCAAAAGATGGTTGGATGACGGAAGAAAGAATACCTGCATATTGCACTTAACGAGATCGAGAGGCGTGACGGCGGTTTGAGTAGGACCGCAGCTCAATATCCCACCGGCAGTACACGTGGTGTAAAAAGCCGGCGTTTACATCTCGATCCTCTCCTTCGGCAAGGGTATCACAATCCCACTCGCAGTGACCCCTGCATCACCGACCAAGTTCAATGATGGTGTTGATGAAACAGACGATGATCCACGCAGCACATGATGATGATTGGCGTTTAGAGGAAGCTAGGAAGGAGAGATTGGCGAGAGTCATTAGAGACTGCCATTTTTTTATTTGTTGTAATTTTGGTTCTTCTCTCTTACCATGAGTGAAATGGTTCTTGGTTTTGAGCGAGCAGACGATACGAAGAAAATGGAAAGTTTGTGGTGTGTTTGAAATGCAAGAAGAGAAGAAGAATATGAAAAATCAGTCGAAAATTCTCTGCGTTCTTCAAGGGCTGTCCTTCCTTTGCTTGCGCGCTCTTTTTTTTTAAATAAAATACGTCATTAATTCCAAATTAAAATTGATTTAATAATTTAAATTAACGTAAAATTTCGCATAAATTACAATTTACATATTTAAATTTTTCGATGCAAAAAGCTTCTTTAATACGAGATATGAGTTTCGTTTATCCAAAACTTTCATATACCCTATTATTGATAATTTACGAGATAAAAATAACACATTTTATTTTTTATTTAAAATTATGACATATTATTAAATCAAAATTAATTATTTAAATTAACGTAAAATCTTATATAAATTATTAGGCACACACACCCGAACTACCCAACGTGCCGCTTGCACAATTTTTTATTGACCTTTTTTCCTCACTTTTAATTTTTACTAATTCGATCGTTGACCTTGGTACCCTAATTTTTAAGAAAAATAAATAGTTCAGCATTATACAAACTATACTGTTTGACTTAATTTTCATTTAAACTTTTTTATTTTCAATATAAAAATATTGTAAAACACATTTCAGCCTGATAAAAAGTTATTACTGTTGATGAAAAATTATTGGATTATCTCCGTTACAAAGGCCAATAATTTGGTAACAACGTCACGCTGTTGATTCATGCGCCATTGTTAGATCACCAAACTATTCCCATAAAACAAAATAAAAAAGAACCGCCGTTGCCGGGGATCGAACCCGGGTCACCCGCGTGACAGGCGGGAATACTTACCACTATACTACAACGACACGATGTAAATTCTCTACCATCGTTAAAATTTCTTCATTCATTAACCTTACCAGCCTAAGAACTTTTTTTTTTTTAATTAGTGTTTCATGCACATGCTTTTTGCACATGGGTGATTTTATAATTTTTATAATGAAAATAATAAGATTGTAAATCATGAATGATAAATTGATTAATTTCTAATTAGTAAAAGCTTTAAGCATAAGGACATGAAATATATGTTAATAAAAAAGGTATTTTCATGAAAAATTTTATATTTAAAATAAAATGATCTTTATGGAAAACAACAATATACTTTAAATTTAATTATTAAACTTTTTGATTGATTTATTTGTTTGATTATTTAATTATGATTTTAATTTATATTTATAATTTTATAAAAAATTATTAAAATTTTAAATCCCAAAAAAAAAAAAGAGAAAACACATGAATTTGATATTTATCTTTTCAACAATTAATTTAAAAAAATTATATAAGGTAAAATTTAATCATTTTTTGATATGTCATCATTTTTTTTATTTAAGGATTAAGGATTCGACTTTTAGGGAAAAAAAATAACTGCAACACCATTAATTAATTATTGATAGCTAAAATTTTTGAAACTTAACAATTAATTGTGAGAAGTAATATATTATTTTACTCATAAGTAAATTATAATATTTTAAGCCATTAATGACTCAATATAATAATTATTCAAGTTTATATATGTATTTATAAGTGATTTATTTACTAACTTTTAAGCACCAAACTTCATATATTCTTAGCTAATTAAGTGTTAATATTTTAGGTACTTGCTTTGGTGGCTTCACGAACATAAAAATACATGCAGACAATATCATATAATGGACCGATGTATAGATTTTGTTTGATAATCATTAAGTCGAGGGTGAAGAAGCTACCACGTGGCAGTAGGTAAGGTAGGTTGCTTCGTGGCTTAGTCGGCTAAGGGGCTCAGGACAAAATGATTGGCTCCGATTTTGCACTGTTACAACGCAGCCAAAACATTCTCTGTCCAGGATCCTTCGCTATCGGAGCCGAAATCTTGGACCCCACGCGCCAGCTCAGTTCAACACGTTGTGCACTGGGTCCCTACATTTCCCCTTTCGATTCTCTCCCGCGAAACCCGCACTAAGCCCTAAAACGATGTCGTCTTGCTCAATCCTCTTCCTCCCCAATCCATATTTCAACAGTGTTTCAACCCCGTCTCTCTCTCTCCTCCGGTTCTCTCGAGACAAGGCCAAATCCTCCCATTTTACCCCCAAAATCTAGCTCAATTTAAAAAAAGAAAATAAATAACAGTTACATTAAGTAAAGTGATGGATCGGAGGACGGAGAGTCCCGTGTACGGGCCACAGTGGAGCGGTGGATCGAGTAGCTCGGGTTCGTCGTCTCCCGCTCATCCGCAGTCGCTGTTGCAGCCGGGTGCCGCCGGTGGTTTCTCAACCATCAAGCGCACACAAAACGTAGCCGCCAAAGCCGCTGCTCAACGACTCGCTCAAGTCATGGCTTCGCAGACCACCGACGACGATGAGGAAGACGACGATCTAGGTTTCCAGTTCGGCGGTCCTTCTGTACCTACTAGCTTCTCTAATAACGGTTTAAATCACAGTACTTTGCCCGCAATCTCTGTCACTCGGCCTAATAGATCTGCCTCCCCTGCGGTAATGACTTTGAATTGAAGTTAATTAGGGAGGTTTTTCTTTGCTCTTTTTGTGGATTTGAATTTTTTGATCTGACTTGGAGTTTTTGGTAATTTTGATTAGTTAGGTCGGAATTTTGTAGAGCATGCGCCTTCGGTGCGGTCCACGTCAGCAGGGAGGCCGGCAATGTCGATGCGGTCAACGACGCCAACATTGTTGCCGCCGAGTAGAACTTCAGTTCGCACGCCAGTTACTATACCTCCGATTGATCCTCCTAATAGAAGCAGAGATAAAAGGTTAGCTTTCATGAAATTTTATTGCTTAAGAATATATTTAGAATTTATATGTGCACCGTATAAAAGACAGATGAGTCTTTGATAGAAGGAAACTTCAAATTATATAATAGTAACTGAGATGGTAAGATAGCAGCTAATTAGTAGATACTGAGGTTGTAAAAGGACCAACTGAGCGAACTGATTAATGTATTAGTACAGATGGTAAATCATATCAGTTCAAAGCATCTTCATGCAATTGCAATGTATTTATTTATATTTGCAGCTACTATTTTGTCATTAGAAAAATATTCCTCTCTCTATATATAGTTACATTAATTTATCTTTGAATGCTGTTACTAAGGCACTAATATACCGTCTATCACTGACAAATATAGGTTTTCAATGCTGTTATCGTGCTGGGTCAACCCATTAGGACATTACACATTTTTATCTTATCAGTATTTGCAAAGGATAATGCTTATTGAATTTCTAAACTAGAACCATTCATCTTGTTTTTCAAAGAACATATCAATATCATTGACACTTCATGGTAATACCTAATTAATAATGTAATGTTCTTCTTTTATTCCTTACATATTCTATCATCTAAATTTGTTCTTAGTTTGATGCCTAAACTTTTTGTTCCAATATCTAAACAACATTTTTATCTCTTAAAAAAAATCCTTATAGATCATGCCTTTTATGTTCTAGTTTGTTCAAATGATACTGTGATCCAAATCCTTATAAGTCTTACTAGAACCATTAGTAGATCTGTTATGACATCATCTTTTTTGTTTATGGACCTATATTCTTTATCTTTTGGCAAAAATGTCTTAAGCTTCAAATCAAATGCAGTTTCCTCTATATAATTCTTCATTTCTCCCTTAGTAGATTATCTAATAAGCTTATTTATCTGTATTTGCTGTGCCTAATTTCTTCATTTGCCTTGTTTCTGAAACCAATTTAAAAAATATTGTTTTCTTTTCCTTGGGACTTCATTCTCTGTATGCATAATCTTACATGTGCTCTTGTTTTTTCCCATTGTGTGTAGAGTATTGTTGAGTTTAAATGCCTGTTTTTGAAAATTTTTTATTGTTATGTGATGAGAAAGTTAAAAAAGTTCAACCTTTTGTAAGCCAATAGATTTGAAGCAGTGGAATTATGTTACTGGAAAGTATTGCAGGTTTACAGCTGATGTAGGACAACTCAAAGCAAAAGACACTGGAGATCAGCGTGAAGCTTCTGCACTTTGTGATGAAGTAAGTAACTGGCATTTATCAATTTATGTCTCGATATCTGACTTATACAGCTCTCAAATATATTAATCTTATATAGATTCTATGAGCTGCATAATCTATAATGTAATCATGCCTGTGAGGGTACACAATCTTTTTGTTTATCTTTCATTTGAACTTGAAATCTTATTCTTGAAGCAGTTGGTTTGAAGCTAATGTATGCTATGTTGCAGCTTGATATGCTACAAGAAGAGAATGAGAACCTACTTGACAAGGTGCACTATCCCACCCTAGAGAATTAAAAATTCGTTATTATGGTTGTGTTATCTGTGACATGTAGCATTTATGCCTGTGTATGCTGTACAGCTTCATTCTGCTGAAGAAAGACGTGAAGAAGCAGAAGCAAGAGCTAGGGAGCTTGAGAAACAGGTTCGTTACTCTTCTTTCTTTGGTTGCTAGATCTTCTCTCCCTGCTTGGTATGGTGTGCATGGCTTATCATATTAAAATGTGTAGCATCATCTGAGTTGTTTCACCTCAAATGTTTCTAGTCTGTGAAGCATAGTTGTTGATGTGGGGCATTTATGTAATTTAAACATGATGACACAGCATTTCCTGAATGCAAATGGGTAACACTTTAGATGTCTTTCCTTGAAGTATCTCATCCAGCAGCTTCTAGTGCTGCTTATTTGTTAAAGGGCTTAACATTATGTACTCTTTGAAATTACTCATATAGTTCATATTACACTTATATAACTTAGTATCTCCAACTTTCAAGTTCTCTATTTACATTATTGGTTCTTGATATTTAAGCAGTACTGGATTATGTATGAGGTAGAATCTTTATAGTCTAGGCATCCACCAGGTGGGACATTGACATAAATCTCTTAAATAGGCATATACTTGAAAAAGCATATTCAGGTACTCATGTTACGCATTTTTGTAACTTGTGAACATGTTGTTACATCATTGAGGTATGAGTGAATTCAGCATTTGAATTGTGAGCTGTGAGCATTGCCTAAGCGGCAAAATATTCATTGTTCATTAGCTTGCTGCATTCATACAGTTACTTACTTATTAAATTTTATGTTAACAGGTCGCTTCCTTAGGAGAAGGTGTATCTCTGGAAGCCAAATTATTAAGTAGGTAAGTGTGTGTATTTTGCATTTGCTAGTTGTTCTATTTATTTTCACTGTATGATAATATGTAGTTTTTCTGCAGGAAGGAAGCAGCTTTGCGTCAAAGGGAGGTAAACAAAATATTATACTTATAGAGTCAAGCTTACTTATTTTCATATCTTCAGGCTCATGAATTAAATATTATATGGTTACTTGACCTATATTTCCTATTTTAGATGTTTGCCAGGAACAATAATATTGGTTATCTCTCTCTCTCCCCTCCATCCCAGCCGTTTATTTGAAGTTACTTTATTTAAGCTGTAAAACATTTGTCTCATTAAAAACAAAAAAGCTGCAAAATGTTCTTTCTTGCAGGCTGCTCTTAAGGCTGCAAAACAGACAAAGGATTGTAGGGAGGAGGAAATTGCGGCCCTTCATTCAGAACTTGAGGTAAAGTGTGCCAATAATGCTGGTGTGTAGAAGTGTGTTGATGCTGAAAGTAATTCTATGACTTTCTTTTGATCAGAACTTGAAGGATGGAACTGCTACAGTCATGGAACAGCTCCATGAAGCAGAATCTGAAACAAAAGCTCTTCGCTTAATGACACAGAGAATGATTTTGACTCAGGAAGAGATGGTTTGTCCATTCATGTTCAAGTCACTTTTATTGCTGGATGCTTAAATTCTAATTGTATGCTAAATCTACATTGTAGGAGGAAGTTGTCCTGAAGAGATGTTGGCTTGCTCGTTACTGGGGATTAGCTGTACAGCATGGTAATCAACTATCACGTTCTTCTTAAGCAAGGAAATAATTTACTTCTTAATTTTACCAACTAAGATGCATAGAAAAGTGAGAATTTGATCCCATACCTGTGATGTAGTGCACCTTTGGCGTGAAAGTTTTGACCATCCCTAAGATTCATGAAGTTGAAGGATCTTGTTGTATGTCTGACTTGGTCAGTTCTTAGTCCTTTTTTTGTCCTAAGATATTATTGGTAATGGACCTATATTTGTTGTAGATTGTGGATACCAGCTTTGCTATTGTTCTTTTGCCAGCCAGTATCATATCCTCATAGCAATTCTTAGCCTTTTTATTTCAACACTTTGGTGGTGGAATTTTCATTTTTCATTCCTACAAAATTGATTCATCCTATTCCTTCTTTGCAGTCATTTTATTGTTTATAACCAGATAGGATTTGTTTTTCCCACAATTGCTACTGGATTTTGCAGGCATATGTGCAGATATAGCAGTGTCAAAGCATGAATATTGGTCTGCATTGGCTCCTCTTCCATTTGAAGTTGTTGTTTCTGCTGGACAAAAGGCTAACGAGGAGGCCTGGGATAGAGGCTAGTTCAATTTTTTACCATATCCCATTCACTCCCTCTTTTTTAAAAAAAAAAAAAAATTTATTTTGACCTATTAAAATTGTAGAATTGATACAGGTGGTGGTGATCCAGACCGGAGTAAACTTGTCCGGGATGTGAATGATCTGACAGGAGAAGGAAATATTGAGAGTATGCTCTCAGTTGAAATGGGCCTAAGGGAATTGGCATCTTTGAAGGTTGATTCTTTTTTCTAAAAGGAAAATTAAAATTTTAATTTTTTTTCTGTTCCATTGGCATGTTATTTAGTATCTATATTTTTCCTGGATGTTTTATATTGATTCTTCTTTATAAATTTATATGAATGCCATATATATGAAGGTTTATGCCTTGGCCATTAAATTTTAAAAATTTAGTTGTAGTAACACTTCTTCCCCTCCAACATGCATTTACATGAAGTTACATTTTATTATTACTTACGTATTTCATGTGCTCTTTTGTAAAGCACAGCTTTATAGAGTTATTTTTATCTGCACTCATTGCTGTTTTCAGGTTGAAGACGCTGTTTTACATGCATTAGGCAGGCACAGACGACTGAGTTTGCTTCATCAATCCATCTCAGGTTTTCTTCATCTGTGTCATGTGCAAGATTTTTTTTTTTTTTTTATGAGTAATCAATCTAGTTGGATGTACTTAATTTCTCAATATTTATATTTCCCCCAATTAATACCTTAAGGATGCCAATATTTTCATTTCCTTGTGTGGCAATCCTAGCTTTTATTCACTTTATCTTGCACTTTTAGTTGATGTTCAATAAAATGGGGTGAAACTAGTGACTGTTATATCCAACTTTTCCTCCTGAAGAAACAGCGCCTGATTCTTTTTTTTCTTGAGGCAAAAGCTGTGACAAATTTTTTTAATTTCTTTGCTAGCTATTCTTTCCCTTCTACAATTGCATCTGTTGGAAATCAATTATATTCTGATATGAGTGAAATATTATGCACTAGTATTTATCCTTTTTCTTCTTTTATTTGATTTTCAGATTCAAAGTCAACAGGTGATCCTAAGTTGATAGATGCATTTGGTAAGAGAGACACTTTGTATCTGTCATCGGGCACTATTATAACTTCCTCTTACGGCATATTTTCATGTTGTTTTTGGGAAAACTCTGGCCTCAATTAGTTTAAAAAGATTCGGTTGTTCTTTCTCTTTTTGGTTTTATTTAAATGAATTTTTTTTTTTTTTTTGCCTTTCAACTGCAGAACTAAGTGAAGAGGAGGGAGAAGATGTTCTTTTCAAAGAGGTTAGTCACTTTCTTCATTCAAATACTTTGCATGCTGGTCATATGTGAGCCTTCAATGCAATATCTCTTTTCTCATTCTCTGGTGATTTTTTTGTTGTCTGGGCCTTTTTGCCTTCTATTATCTGTTGCTAGATCATAGTTAATTTATATATATCAATTTTAAGCGTGTTTCTTCTTCTTCCTCCTCCTCCTTTGATTCACCCTTCTCTCTCTCTCCCTTCGTGGTTCTGTTGGAGCTGATTCACAGCCTCCCCTCTTTTTCATACCTCCCTATATCTATTTCCTAGGGGATATCTAAGAACACATTTTTTATTCTTTTTATAAGAGTTGAATGTCCATGAGCATCATTTGTCCATGCTATGATAGCCAGTTATGCATGGTTCTTGCAGATTAAGTTTTAATGAATTAGGAATGTAATATTCTCAACAATAAAAATTGCCCTTCAAATTTCTGCTTTCTGGTCTTATCAACCTTTGGTAAACCAAATTTCCATTTACTCAAGGGTAGCAAGCTCAAAACCACATCAAGTTCTGAATTCAGGAGTGTTTTGGCATCATAGTAGGTTAGCTACCTCAGTGCAGGCACTCTGGTGCTTCTCTTGCTGTAGAAGGTTCGCATTATGTCAGAAATTCTTGTTCTTATAACTTGTAATTGTTATAGGCTTGGTTAACATATTTCTGGAGAAGAGCCAAAGTACATGGTATTGAAGAGGATATTGCAGAAGAGCGGCTTCGATTTTGGATCAGCCATAGTGGGCAGACCCCTACTTCACACAATGCTGTGGATGGTAAACCAACCTTCTTTTTTTTTTCTTTTCCCTAAAAACTGCGTATGGTAGTGAAATACATCCTCTTTCTGCCTTTTGCTTTCTGAATTTTTTACATTTTGTTTCTATTATACTTGTTTGTTACTCATTATTGAACTTTCCTATTAAGTTGTGCCCGATTCTTGTTGATGAAAGAAATTGTCTCTGGGGAACTTCAGAAAAAGTCAAAAACTAGCACGAATTTTGTGCCATATCTAAAAACATTTTTCAAGCCTAGGTTGGACTCTATCTGTAAAGTTGTCTCTTTTCTTGCAGTAAACTATTTTCATCTCATAGAAGAAGTAAAGAACCTCAAGTTATTCTTGTGAATCTCGTAGAAGTATAAGAACCCCAAGATATTTTTGTGATTGGCAATAGATTTTTCTTTCTGATGTTTCCTTCAATATTATCACATCCTTCAATCTTAGGGAGTGCAAAACAAATTTGGGCAAAGAAAGAAATATACACGAGTGAAACCAATACACAATACAAAAATTGGGGGGGGGGGAGGAGAAGAGTGATTGATTGAATGTTAAATGTGCCATTTCAATAACATCTGATTTCAAATTTGGCTTGCATCTTGTGCTGACTGGCAGTTGATCGAGGTTTATATGAGCTGCGGAAGTTGGGTATAGAACAGCAGCTTTGGGAAGCATCTCGTAAAGAAATTGACCAGCCATCTGCTGCATCAATGTCTAATCACAAAGATTTGGACAACGCTTTGTGATCTGTTTCGTCCTTCTCCCCGTCTTCTTCTTTTTTCGCCATCTTGATAAGTTTGCATCAAATTTTAAGTTTTTATATTTATTGTTCAATTTTTTTCATTAATTTTTATTACAGCTTGCTTAAATTTCACAGTTTTGATTTCTTGTCTTTGGTTTAATTTGACGACCCGATACCTGGTGTAATAGATCTTGATACTTGTTTGAGCTTCAAGTGAAGATCCCAAGTAACATTTTGGAGGTTCATTTCGATCGTAATTGCTGCAATATTTGTGCATAAGATGCATCGTGCCTGTTTTTCATGTTTCATCTGTGCTAAGTGGGTATTTTCGCCTGTGAAAGCGAAATTTGGGTCAGCTTTAAATGATGTATGGCTGATTGTAAGTACATAAAGAAATTGTGAGAAAAAGATCTGATCACTTGCTGTTGTCCACTTAACTTTCTTATTCTGTGTAAATGTAAATACAGCAATGGCGCATAACTTGGTAAGTTTTTCAGGTATGGCGACTGGTGTCACCAATCAAACTGAAAGCAATCCAGAAAAAGAGACATGGGTTTGTACTTGTAGATCAAGAAAAGTTGATTAATCCATCCGTTTATTGAATAAGCAAAAAAACAACTATTGAATCACTGTTGATATTGGACCTGCCAATAAACTTCAGGATGCCTTTGTCCTCTCAAGAATATTAAGAAGTGAAAAATGGAAAGTAATCCTGTAAAGCCACTTTCCGAGGAGCATGCTCTATGTTTTTTCTCCTTTGTCAAAAGGGATATACAAGGTCTTTTAGGAGGTCTTGCTTGTTCAACTCTTTGAGGAAAAACACAACAAAAGGAACATAACTATAGTATCTCAGAACCAATTCAGATTTCAGAACCTCTTACATAAAAGCAGATCAGGTACCATATTCCATTCTCTTTCCTCTTTCAAGCCAGCATCGTATGCTGACTCGGCCGAAATATGAGCAGTGACTCCAGCAACCCATAGAGTCTCTCAGACATCTCTTTCAACACCATTTCATGCTTGCCTGCAAGCAAAAAGCTAGAATTGTAATGATAATAAAAACCCAACTTCATAGTGGCAGACAGTATATCTTGTCAAAACAAGATTTTAGCTACCTCTGAAAGAGTTACATAGAGAACTAACCAACAGAACTGAATTTTTCTGTCATGACCTTAAGCTTCTGCAACTTAATTTTTGTTCTTCTACCGTGTTGTTGAAAGCATTCTGGATTATTAGCTGCTTAACCTTGAGATCCCTACAATCTCTATTGTTGGTTCACTAATCAAGGCTGGAATCCAGGTCTTGGTTTACAGGTAATGAAATCTCAATGCTATATAACCTGAACAACATCATGAAGGCTTTGCGGCTCACAAATTTGGTTCATCTTACAGTGGAGATCAGGATTCCGTAATCCCATTGACTGGAAGCCGCGCCCTGGTAGGTGGATTGGCAAAGGAGTTAGGATTGGAAACAACTGTACCTTACAGAGTTTGGTTTGAGAGGAAGCAGGTGTTTTCATTAATAAAGGGAAATTATTTGGTTCTTTTTATGATTTGCCTGACAAAAATGAATGAAACAGTGCATTTTGCCAGAATTTTAAACTACATTATCATGTTTGTGATTTCTTTTTCTTTTCTGTTTGGTGGGTGGACTCAAGTGTATAGTAATACCCTCTCATTTACCACAAGATGAATCGGTAACAACCCAATATCTTCTGCCTCCTACCAACCAACATGAAGTTGACGAAACCAAGGAATCTTTTCGGCACTAAAATTTACAAACCAGGCTCTGATTATCTAAATGCTTGCCGTGGTTTCAACTACTTAGCTCATACAGCATTTATATGACTTGACAAGAAAACCAACAGACCTGATATGACAGTTAAAACCTCTTGTCCCTGAATTCATGTCTAGGTTCCTCCGTAACTAGGCTGTAAAGAGAATTTGTTCCAGGCCTTGGTGACGCGGCATAAGTTTTATATCATGGTTCAAGAGTTAAGCATTTCTAAGATATAAATCTAGAGATCGGGTCAAAACAGCTCTAAATATGAACAAGGTTCCAGATGCTGATCATTTAAGAACAACCTTACAGTGTTGATTCATGTTCTACAACAATTGGCGGTAGAAAAGGAGACCATAATCACTTTTTTTTTTAATGCATTTCCATCTAATTCAAACAAACATATCCATATATTTTATTGTGAGATGAACTGCCAACCAAACATTACCAGCATCATCTTTCTGCTTCTAACAATGCTTTGCCATTGAGTGAGAGAAATGCAATGCAGCTTCAGTGTCCACAGGCAAGCGATCAATGACTTCCAATTCTACTACCATGCAAGTCCTTTCAACAAAACAGACTACGACTAGTATAGCCAGTTCAATTAAAAAGAAAAGGTACAAACAACATATCCAAAAAGGCTATTTGGTTACACGACTGGAATCTGATCAGCCAATGACTCGGGAGTACCACTGCTACCATTGAGAACAGTAACATTTCCATCGGAGTCAACATCCACAATTACTGAATCACCTTCCTTGATTTCCCTAGCTAGCATCTTCTCAGCCATGCTGTCCTCGAGAAGTCTCATAATGGCTCTTCTTAAAGGCCTTGCTCCATAGCTTGGGTTGTATCCTTCCTCCACCACCCTCTCTTTAAACCTTTCAGTCACTTGAAGCTCTATATCTTTGGTTTTAAGCCTGTCATACACCTCCTTAAGCATTATATCAGCAATCTCCTTCACCTCCAACTTGGTGAGCTGCCTGAAAACAATCATCTCATCCAATCTATTCAAGAACTCCGGCCTGAAGTATCGCTTCAGTTCTTCCGTCACCAGGCTCTTTATTCTATTGTAACTGCTGTCCTCCTCATCTTTAAAAAGATCAAATCCCATCTGCCTTCCACCCTTCTCAATTACACTGCTTCCAACATTAGAGGTCATTATCAGAAGGGTATTCTTGAAATCCACAGTTCTTCCTTTACTGTCTGTCAATCTTCCATCCTCAAGTATCTGAAGCATCATGTTAAAGACATCAGGATGGGCCTTCTCAATCTCATCAAAAAGCACTACAGTGTACGGTCGTCTCCTAACAGCCTCAGTTAGCTGACCACCCTCAGTGTAACCAACATACCCAGGGGGTGAACCAATGAGCTTAGACACTGTATGTCTTTCCATGAACTCACTCATATCAAGTCGGATCATGGCTTCTTCAGACCCAAAATAGTAAGCAGCTAGTGCCTTTGCTAGTTCTGACTTCCCAACACCAGTTGGTCCAGAAAAGATGAAGCTAGCAATTGGCCGATTGGGGTTCTTGAGACCAACACGGGCACGTCGAACAGCACGGCTAATGGCTTTCACAGCTTCATCCTGACCAATGACTCGCTTATGAAGAGTCTCTTCCATCTTAAGGAGACGATCAGATTCATCCGTTGATACTTTCTCAACAGGAATACCAGTCCACGCAGAGACTATATGCTGAATGTCCACTTCTGTCACAACAGGACCTCCATCCCCTGCCTCTGCCTCTGCCTTATTCATCTCCTTGTCTTTCTCTTGGATTGCAGTGATCTGAGCCCTAAGCTCAATTTCCCGGTCACGTAATTCCCCAGCCTGTTTAAAAGAATGTATTATAATATGAGTGATAGCTAAACCAAAGGTTGCCAAACCCACAAAAGAAAAACAATGGTTGACCACTTAACAGCCTCGTAAGAAAACTAATCTTTGAGACCATCAAACAATCCAACACCAACAAGTTAGGATACAGAAGGATCATTATAATAATTTGATCCACCCTCTAAAAGAAATAAATATAAAATGGCCCAATGAAACTCAACTACTTTGTTACCTTCTCAAAGTCCTGGCTGCGAACTGCTTCATTCTTTGACTTTGTGATCTGTCTGAGCTCTTTTTCAAGCTCTTTAGCTTCCTCAGGGAGCTGCAACAACAATAATGTAATCAAATCAACTAGAGAAAGAAAGGCAAATAAGAGTCACTCGTGACTAAATTGTAATACAAGCACACCTGTGCATGACGAAGTCGAACACGAGAACCAGCTTCATCAATCAAGTCAATTGCTTTATCAGGTAGAAAACGGTCACTAAAGCATAAAGAAATCACAGTGAGAAACAAAAAAAGTGCAGTTCCATTTTTAGTGACTAAGCAATTACAAAAGATGATTGATGACAATAAGATGGCCACATACCTGATGTACTGGTAAGACAGCTGCGCAGCAGAAATTAAAGCCTCATCCGTGTAGCGAAGCTTGTGGTGAATCTCATAACGCTCTCGCAAACCTTTCAAAATCTGTATAGTTTCATCTACAGATGGTTCAGGCACTTTGACTGGCTGGAATCGTCTTTCCAAAGCTGGGTCTTTCTCAATATGTTTTCTGTATTCGTCGAGTGTTGTAGCTCCAATACACTGCATCAATGCAAATAAAAAATATAAGAAATAGCCAGAGTTGATTAGATAAACAGAAACAACAGGTTGCATTAACCAAATGCTATAAAAACTTCAACAGTAGCACAAATACCAAATATAACAATATGCTTCACTTACACCTTGCAAATACAAAATTCGAACATGAGCAGCAATAGGAAGGACCCAAATAATTTAGATAAAACAATCAACTCTAGTCTCTAAAGATTATAATATTTAGAGAAACTGTCAAAAAAATTGTCTAGTGTATTGCTACGAAGCAACAACCAATCCAAACTTAGAAAAGACTGGGAAAACTCACATACACTTTCCCATTTCCTTACTCTGTTCGCTGCCTAAACATAAAATACACACATTACAATCCCCATTGTAAGAACAAAATTTACCTGCAATTCACCTCTGGCAAGAGCCGGCTTTAAGATATTGGCAGCATCAATAGCACCTTCTGCCGCTCCTGCTCCAATTAAGGTGTGCACCTCATCAATAAACAATATTATCTCATCACTTTGCTTGATTTCCTCCATTAGCTTCTTCAATCTCTCCTCAAACTCTCCACGATATTTCGTTCCAGCAACAAGAAGACCCATATCAAGTGTTATAACCTAATAAAAAACAGTCATAAATGCTTACTTCTCAATGAAAATAAATAATAAATAAACAAGAAGTACACAAAAAGGAAGGCTATAACTTTGAAAGGTTGGGAAAAGGTAGGAAGAATAACCAGAGAAATTATAATGACATTGAAAGAAACAAACGCCTCTTGTTGATTCATACCCCTCATATATTTAAGTAAATAGCACAGCACCAAGATCTTAAGCTATCATCGATCTATGTCATTATTTTGACTGGCTTTGGGCAAGACCCTTATAGTTTGGGATATCTCAAATTTGATGAAAGTAATAAAATAAAACTCCAGACTTTAGCAACTAAAATCACTAGTGACCAACTGTTTTCATGTCATGTATATTAAAGCAGAAAATTTTCCAGAGAAAAAAGACCCATAATGGAGATGGATGTTACACATAAATTACACAGCATTTTAGTACGCAACTAGTGCAAAATTGACATTTAGTTCACGGCAATTCTAAATGGAAACATGCAAAAATACTACCACATTTGCATTTCATAACTATTGCACAAATCCAAAAACATAAAAAATAATAAAAAATCATCACCATTAATTCTTTCAATCCCTTTGCTAAGATAAAAAGTAATAAAATAAAGCTAAAAGACATCCATGCACCTTCTTTCCCTCAATTGTATCAGGAACATCACCACTAGCAATACGTTGGGCAAGGCCTTCTGCAATTGCTGTTTTTCCAACACCAGGTTCTCCGATAAGACACGGGTTGTTTTTGGTCCGTCTACCCAATATTTGGACAACACGTTCTATTTGAGTCTGCCTCCCAACAACGGGATCCAATTTACCCTGAAAGGGAGAAAAACCTGCTTAGAAACAAGCACATACAAATACCCAGGATAAACAGATAAACAAATTTCTTACGTCTTCAGCTAGTTTAGTCAAATTGGTTCCATATTCCTCGAGTGTACAAATTTCTTACCTCTTCAGCTAGCTTAGTCAAATTGGTTCCATATTCCTCAAGTGTTGGCATCTTTGTGTTGCCAGTTGATCCTCCAGGAACAACACTAACTTCATTGCCCTCGCCAACCATACGAATAACCTAGTCAATCAAATGGATGATTAACCCCAGTAGTTTTTTATATTGGCAGAAAAAAAACCAGAAATTAGAAACAAAATCAAGTCAATAAATGCATTTCTTACCTGTGTCCGGATATTACTTGGTTCAGCACCTAAATTCTCAAGAACGCGGGCGGCTACACCTTCACCTTCACGAAGCAACCCAAGAAGAAGATGCTCTGATCCAATATAATTATGGCCTGAAATTTTCATAAAACAAGACTTACCAGTTAATCAAAGTAAATTTTCCTCATAAAAAGAGCATGCATATATAAACAGAATGAAGAAGGACTACATCCTGGCTGGTATTCAAGGATTTAGTGAGATAAGTTAAGAGCTTACACCTAAACTTCATCGTCATTTAAAGATGAAGGAATATGCTCCCCACCACCACAATAACCCTTTGATACCATTTTCTTCTCTTTCATCATATGAAATGCTTTTCTTCTAGGTTAAGTCAGTTAAATGGCAATTACATTCACATCATCTTGCGCCAATAAATAAATTCTAATATGAATGCAGATAACTGAGTGAATTGTCATATGAATAACCAACACAAATAAAATGAAAGCCAAATGAAAATTGATAATATGGTACGGTAACTCTCCCTTCTAGCTAAATTCCAGTTTAAAAGTGATTATAAATAATTAAAAACAAAAAGGAGAAACTATGTATAAAGATACCAAGTTGGCGAGCTTCTTCTAATGAGAGTTCGAGAACACGTTTTGCACGAGGAGTAAACGGAATCTCCACAGCAACAAACCCACTGCCCCTTCCAATTATCTTCTCCACCTCTACACGTGCATCTTTAAGATTGATTCCCATAGATTTAAGAACTTTAGCAGCAATGCCAGTACCTTCCCCAATAAGGCCCAATAAAATTTGCTCTGTCCCAACAAAATTATGGCCAAGCCGTCTGG